ATCTAAATAAATATCTATGTCATATATATTTATAATGTATATACATTGAGAACTCAGAAAATCATAGGCAAAAAGGAAATAAAATACTTTTCTGTGATGATACTTTGGTCCACTTTTCTCCAACTTAGAAATATGGGATTAAAAATAAAGTAGGACCTGAGAATCAATTCATCATTTCAGTGGTGAACACAAATGAATATTCAATACTTCATCTTTGATAAACTAGAAGTATAGAACCCTTTTATTTCCCATGTTCTGAGTAGTTAAGATGTTTGAGGACAAAATTATTTTAAATATATTTTATGAATACCTTGTATAAATGTGTGTTGTTAATAAATTTTGATTGAAAAAAAATGTATCAACATATAGAACGGACATTGCCATAGAAAACCGAATGTCTGACGCCTCTGTGGGGACACACAGGGAAACACTGTTATCTAGTTACTTTCTTCTTTGGTCTAAGGACCTTAATTACTACATTTGGGATATTTCATAAGTGTTCAGAATATACTTTCATTCACATAGCTCAGCCAAGGCCAATGGAATAAACTAAAGCAACATGTATTTCATATACAGAGCAGAAATAAAATAGTTAATATAAACCAACAGAATACAAGTTGCAGAAAGGAGAAATGTGGAACAAGGAGAGGAAATTTGATGTAATGGTAAAGTTTAAAAAATCAAGAATTAAAGGAATTTCATAAGGAAGAAATCTTCAAGTTGGAAAAGGTTCATTTTAGTATTTATAATGTTATTGGCATTTGCTCATTAGGAAAGCAGGAAAAACTGATCCACTATGTATTATAGAAATAAGTCTAAACCTTTCTATATGTAAGGGTGTTGCATGTGTGCATGTGTACATGAGTTTGAGGTATAATTTGCACATAAGAAAATGAACTTAGGTTACAGAGCTCAACAAGTTTTGAAAATATATGCCACTCTGCAACCCCCACACAACCCATATACAGAACATTTCCTTTTAATTTAGAACCCATTCCCTCAGTTTAGGCAATAAATGGTGCAGATGTAGTAGCTATTTCACTATTTCAAGAAGAGGAAAAAAATTATACAAAGAGAGTTTCCTCAATTTCAACAGAGGAAATTGGGTTCAGAAGAGATCATAGGTTCTGAAGCTTGGGCACTGGAGTATTAAAATCAAAATTTCAATTAGCCAAATAATAGGCTTGGGAAGAATGATGAAAGAGCCATCTGTAGGAATCTTTCCTTCTCTTAGTTTTGATAAAAAAAATTCCTTGGACTTTGGAGATGAAGATGATCCAGAAAAGCTGAGATCAAGCCATATTCTCCAATGCCATGGAGCAAGAGGGTCCTGGGATTAGTGATGGGGTAGTTTTTAGCACACAAGGGACTTTCTCAAATCTTTACTAGTCCAAGAACACATTTGAGGGAATGCAAAGACTTTTTATCTCTCAAGAAACATGAAGGTAGTGAGTGCCAGAGAAAGACCTTCTGGCCCTGGCTTGGAAGCAGCTGGGTGCACGGAGTATTGCTGGGAACTGAGATATCAACAGATTCAAAAGTCTCTCTCCTCCTGTCTGTCCCAGGAGCCCCATTGTGGCAACAGTTCTCCAGATTTTGAATGAACTCTGAGGAGAATGGAGAAGGAGACATTCTGAGATATCAGAAAATACCAATTTGACAAAAACTAAGTCTTTTGCTACTAGGCACAATGGAATTCAAAACAGAGATGAGGTTGAATTATATTTTCTTTCTTTTCTTTTTTGCATGCCTGAATTCTGAGAAAATTGTACCCACTACATAAGCAGAACAAATTCATTGTACCCACTACATAATCAGAACAAATATCATTATCAATGTTTATTCATTACTAAAATTAGTAATGAATAAACATTGCTCAACCATATTGAATAATTGTGTTTGTATGGCACTTGAGAGTTGACAAATGGTTTTATGCGCTTAATCTTATTTGGTCCACTCAATAGCTTGCAAGGTAAGCAATTAAAGGACCATTTCTTTACATGAAAATATGGATAGCTATGAAATATCATCCCTGAATATTCATTGATTCGATTCATCCAAGAAATCAGTGAAATGCCACTACTTGTCACGTACTTGACACCCCATTTTCTCTGGAGAGTATTTCTAAGAAACTATTGAGGGATATGGAACACGATCATAAAAGAATGATCAGGGGTAGGAATATGGGCTGACTGCAGTGTGACCATGCTCATAAGTAGAAGCGGGTCCAGAGGGTAAAGATGGACAAAGAGTGAGTGCTTGGAAATTTATGTTAGCATTACAGAAAAAAAGGAGAACTCAAGGTGGTGCAGTCCTATTTCCTGCTCGAGGTAATTTAGATGGCATGGAAAAAGTTCACAGGTAGAATAGCCTTAGTTATCTTACCCATGAGCTGGTGAAAACATCAGTATCCCTGCCTGGTGGTGAGGAAGATTCTGGAAAAGGTAAGAAAAGAACTTGGAGATTGAAACTGGTTTTAGGCACTAGTTCTTGTACATGAGATCCAAAGGGGTATGGCATCACTGCGCTTGATCTGTAGCTGAATGGGTCTAGACATGCAGATTGAGACAGGGTAATTTTCACCTGGAAGAGGTGATATCAATGCCTGGTAGAGGGTTATGTAGTCATTTGCAGCCATGGCTCTGACTGGGATGTGGAGATTCACCAAAGTCACTCAGGGGATTAGAGCAGAATTTCAGTTCTAGCTGCAATAGGAACCCTGGAGAGGAATAAAAAAAGGCCGTGATACTGCCTGGGATCTAAGGCAAAGGAAAGGAGAGGCAGCTAACAAATGACACAGGACCCTTCCCTACATCTGTAAGCTGACACTGCTACCCACCTACTGACTGTGGAACTGAAGATCCCCTGGGCACTGGGTACAGTGGCACACACCTGTGATCCCAACAACTTAAGAGGCTGAAGCAGGAGGATAGAAAGTTCAAAGCCAGCCTCAGCAAAAACAAGGTGCTAAGCAACTCAGTGAGACCCTGACTCTAAATAAAATACAAAATAGGGTTGGGGATGTGGCTCAGTGGCGAGTGCCCCTGACTTTAATTCCAGATACCCACAAATGAAAAATAATTTACAAAAAGAGCCCTGGGCTACAGACAGAGGTCATCAGCAATGCCCGGGGTGTCTAGAGAAGATAAGGATTAAACATCACAGAACTCTCTCTTACTGGGTAGAATTTCAGCCAGACTGGAAAGCTCAGTTTGACAGCATTTGTCAATCATCCATTTGGCACACTGCCAAGATGTAAAATAGGAAGTTGGAAAACAATGCCTTGAGTAGTCAGGCATTTGTTTAAAAAAATCTAAATAATTTTAATCAGATAGAAAAATGATTTGTTTGTTTGTTTGGTTTTGTTTTTGTACCTGAGATTGAACCCAGCCCTTAACCACTGAGCCATATCCTTATCCTTTTTTTTTTTTTAATTATTATTTGAGACAGTGCCTCCCTAAGTTGCTAAAGCATTGCTAAGTTGCTGAGGCTGGGTTTGATTTAGTGATCATCCTGCCTCAGCCTTCCCAGCTGCTGGGATTACAAACACGTACCACCGGAACAAGCCAGAAAAAAAGGATTTTGATAGTGATTTATAGTTTAACAGGGTTTAAAGGCATAGGAAATTTGTTCTAGATACACAGTAGGTCATGTGCCAGTTTGCAAGACTCAGGAGTGGCATTAACAGTGAAATCAATTCTGCTTACTTCTATCCTGTACAGAAGTCCATTGAATTATTCATCTGATCAGTCTTGTCTTGTAAAGAACTGACCAGGCCAGTCCCATGATTCCAGTTTATCCCCTAATCCCATCTGCCAATTTCGAAAGCACACCAAAACAGAGGTATTGTCCATATTTCCTTCAACAGTGGAAATAACCTATATGGACCTTGAAAGAAACTTGAAAAGAGAATTCAGAAACTTCCTTCCTTTCTTCCTTCCTTCCTCCCTCCCTTCCTTCCTTCCTCCCTCCCTCCCTTTCTTCCTTCCTTCCTCCTTCCCTTTCTCTGACCCAGAGCTTTCATTTTTCCTGCCCACAGGGCAAAGAAGCTTGAACCCTCTTAGAATCAAGTTCTTACGTACCACCAAGGCCTGCAGCTTCTAGTGGAATCACTGTATGGTTTTCAAAGCAACTAGTATGCCAGATAATCGGTCTTTAATTTTAATTAATCCATTTAAAAATTTTTTTTAGTTGTTGATAGGCCTTTATTTATTTATTTATTTATTTATTTATTTATTTATTTATATGCAGTGCTAAGAATCGAACCCAATGTCTCACACATGCTAGGCAAGCACTCTATCACTGACCCCAGCTCCCTTAATCCGTTTTTAAGAGCATTTTGAACAGATTTTATTTGGAAGTACCTTGATTCCTTCCAGAAATAATAATGATTATAAAAGAAGACTGAACACCTATAAAGCATGCACTCTGTCCCAGGGATTCTTTGAGGTGTTTCACAAGGATTATCTCATTCAATCTTCACAGAAAGTTTATGTGGTAGGCACTGTTATTACCTCCATTTTCCAGGAATCCAGAAAGACATGCATTCATAGATTTTTGATTCAAAAGACTAACATGTTAACAAACACGTAGCCCTGCTTTCCAATTAGCCCCCAGGGCAAACCAGTGTCTCACACGAAAAAGACACTGAGGTCTGGACCATTTAAGTCAGTTGCCCAAGGGCATGCCTCTGTTATACTGCAGACCTGGGATAAATGTAGGTCATTTCACATTCATCTATCTTTCAATTACACCATACCATCTCTAAATTATAATGAAGAAAGAAAAGTAACACTCCCTTACAACAATATAAAATAGATGAGGTCTGATATAATCACCAGGATTGCAAAAGTGAAATTCTGTGGGAGCTGAACACACACACACACACACACACACACACACACACACACTCATACACACACTGCACAGGTTGCCTTTAACAAACCATTGGCAAAGGAAATAAAAGAGTACATAGAAATTCTAAACCCTCGAAGGCTCACCAGACTTCCTGATCACCAAGTTTGTGTCAGTGGTTTGGAGGCACTTTGATCTCAGCTCCTACAAGAGATCCGAAGAAGGCAACTATTAAAATTTCATAGGTCATAATTAATGATCCTGCTCATGAAATTGCTTCTAATATCTCTGGCTCCAGATAGACAGTTTACCTGCAGGGAGAATTTTCTTTGCAGCAACACATGGAAGATCATAAATTGGCCTTGTTCATTAATTTTATGGGTCTTGGAGAGCTAACACTGCCTTCATTCAAAATCAATAATTTCGAAATAAGTTTGCTGCTACCAAAACCAAAAACCAAAAAAAAAAAAAAAAAAAAAGTGGAAAGCTTATTATATACCTGCTTTCTAAATCGACTGCCACGGGCTAAAGTTGTGAAAATTTCAGGAAACTTTTGATTTCCAACTTCTATGGCTGTTTTCTCACTCCCTGGCTCTTGTGTCTATAGGTCATGCTTCCAACAGGTATGTGGCACACACTGTGATTATGAGAAAAGTCTGCCATTTTGTGGCCCTGCTGTCTACACACAGTGTGGGGAACAAGTGTAATTCCACATTCCTTGGACCATCAAAGCCCTTCCTTTCACCTACTCTGTCTTCTTCCTCTATTATTTTTCTTCTTCCCCCCCCCCACCTCTACAATTACATCTCAGAAAGGTGCCCCATACATTTTCTTAATTATCAGTACACAACTGAGCCAAGAAAAGCATCTCATATCCACACTGGCCTCCTCCAATCTCCCGGAGTATTCTTTGGTTGCTCCTCCACTGTTGGAAGAAATAACCAATATGGACAATACCTTCCTTTCAGTGTTTTATACATGCTTACCAACTTCAATATTTGTTTTTGTAATGTATAATTATAAATCTACTAGGGATAAAAAAAATAACATTTTAAATGAAATAATGAGGCAAATTGGCCCATTTGGCATTTTGGATTATCAGCACCAAATCTCATCGGTTTTCAATGGCTGACTGAGCTCAGAATTTTATCTGAAATAGTTTTACATTCTTCACAGACATCTGGATGGCAATGCCATAAAAGTCATTATTTGGCAGGAAAGAGAGCTGTTAAATTTGCTTTAAGTAACAGATACAAAAGTGACACACCATACTAAATGTTGACTTGGTTTCAAGATGTCATGAAAATAAGGTGGGAGAGGGTAGGTGTTAAGTGCAGAGCGAAGATATAATTTACACCTGGTTATTAATTTAACCAATGTCGTCAATAGTGTATTTTCCCTTTGCCTTGGGGTCAGCTGCAAATGATAAAATTATCTCCAGTCCAATCAAGTGGCACCTGCCATTCACGGTGTGAATAATACTGTACTTAAAAATTTGATAGAACCACCCATCTCATGTGCTCTTGAAACATCACTACTTGGAAATTACATCTCAAGAACCCAGAATCAGATATGACACATCGACCTGAAGTGGGGAAGGGTCAATAGCCCATTAGCGGTTCCCTGGAGAATTTGTGTTATAAGTGACCTTCCCTTTCTGCTGCCACTCTTACCCAACTGCATCAAAGCTGCTTGGGGAAGAGACAAACTAATCACTTGCATATACTAAATTTGCTGCAGGCCATTTTGTGATAAATTGTCCAATTTCACTAAGCAAGGTAGCTTTGGAAAAGAAAGAAAATTCAGTCTCACAGAATATAAAGTAATTGTGTGGTTAGGTCTTTGGCTGAAAGGCAGTACTAAAAATATCCCATGTTTTCTTGCCTCTCAAGTCCTGCTAGGTATGTGGTACATCAAGGGTATAAACACTTAGAAAACAATCACCAGATGATTCTCCCCAGACAGAGGAATTTGAATTTTTTTAAAACTGTTATGTCATCTCATTGATTTGGGGTTTACATTTTATAATTTTGCTTTTTGAAGAAACCAATGTGTGGTGTATGAAGCCTAAGACAGAAGTCAATTTGTAATATAATATATGAATCGTTAACCTGGCAACCTCTGAGGCATCTATCATTGGCTTTAAAGATATTATATTTTAAAAATATTATATTTGGCCATTTGTGTATTCAAAATGAATAAATAAAATAAATTATACTGCCTGGTCTAAGGGTTAAGTGGCCTGAGAAAATTCTAGTGGTTGTCTTGCATCATTTAGGTACACAGCTGCAAAACACACTAAAGTTTAACTTTTGTTGCTAATTTCATCCCAATTCTGTACAGTGACAATAGGGTTGACAATTTTCCTCTTGGCCAATTTTGAACAGATGATGAGTGAGATGTTAAGGGGGTGACCAAAGGGATGGATACCTTTCATTGACCCTGCATGAGCATGGCTCTTGCTTGCAGGCCTATCTTTCTCAAATGTTAATTCATCTGGAGTAACTCAGACAGGCTTTTCCAAATGTATGCCTCAAAAAACAGTTATGCAGCATAAAAATAGGTGCTACCCTTCCCTACTACACACACACACACACACACACACACACACACACACACACACAAATATTGTTTGGGTTAAATTTAGTGAAATGGGTACTTTTTCTAAAGGATTTCTGAAAGCTTCAATATACTAAAGTGTGTTGTAGATAAACAAGAAAGATAGATATTATGTGGCTTTTACCAAAACTGTTTGCCCCAAACAATTCTTTTCATCTAGAATTTTGTGGGATTGACAATGATTAATGATTTATTTGTTCTATGGAGCATATTTGGCCAAGCATTAGATTGATGCAGTCCTTAAAAAATGATCAGCAGTGCCTACCAAATGAACCTGCAATAAGAAGTGACTATAACTGGGATATGAGCAGTACAGCGAAAGTAGAATTTCAATGTGAACTGCCACCATGAAGTAGTTTGGGGAACATCTTGGACAACTAACTGTACAGAGAACAGTTATTCCTCTCTCTCAACAGAGTTGACAAAACATCAAGTGAGGTCCCTACCTCTGTAAAAGTCTTAGGGGAACATGGCAGTCATAGAATTCTCATCCTCCTCTGACAAAGCAACATCTGAGAATTGTGAGTGGCCATGGAGGGCCAACGCATCAGGGAAGGAATAGCCACAAGGGCATCCAAAACACAGTGGACATTACCCTGTGGACAGCACATTACCCTGTGGGGCAACAATTATCGCCCCAGAAAGTCCTCTTTTAACAGCACGTTTAATAAGATTTCCCTTTTCCTCTCAAAGCAGATATACCCATGACCAGTTAGAATTTTCACTAATGTGGTTTATCTGGGTATCGAAAATGTGCTTATAAATAATAGTTCTCTATTATTTTTAGATTTATATGAATAGCATGGAAAGTCACGTAGTAGAGATACTTAGTAGAACAAGAGGACCTATTTAATGATTTATTTGTGTATTTATTGTTTTATTTATTTATTGAAAATCTTTTAACAATGACCAGCAATCTTCTATACATTGGCTTCTTTCTTTTTGTATTTTGTGTTCCTCCATTTCCCCTGCTTCTGAATCCTGGCCCATGGCATCAAAGAATTTGGAACAAAGAGTACCTAGTATTTTCACATTAACAAGAACACAGGTAAATCATCAACAATAACAACAACAAAAAATAATTCCAATAAGAAAAAATTCATTGTGATATATTTTAATTCTTCAAGGCACGAATACTCATAGATAGGACTCAGGTGCTCTTATGTGGAGAGAGAGTTTGCACTGGTCAGGTTTCTGAAAATGAAACTCTCATACACTGACAACTAAAAATAAACTATAGCTAAAGCAATGTCTTAAAATTCACATTTGTATCTGAAGTAAGTAAAATTCCATTTTAAAACGTGATTATGCCAATGACAAAGCAGTGCTTCCAAATTACTTGTACTTATGTTTAAGCATAAATGTATTTTTAAATTTTCATAACTAAATCAAATTATTATAGACTTTTTTGCTTATCCAATTGAGTATAAACATCTTCTCCAAAACTTTTTGTGTGTGCCATTTAATACAATGATGAATAAATCAAGTGGCAAAGAGTTTTGAGAATGGTGTGAACACTATGTTCCCCATTTTACAGGTTGAGTAATAGAATTTTTAGATCTTTTTGCCTCAAATTCAGGATTCTACCAATATATACTGCTACTTCAGAGCACCGAATGTTTTTAAAGCCAGAAGCATTTTGTGTATTCATCATTTCTCACCAAATATAAGAACTGCCACAGAAATGCCTAGCTTTTAAAATTCCATAGCAGAATGGAATAAACTCAAGACTAAGCAGAAAATCAGAGTATCGGAGCTAAGACAAGAAAAATGGACATGGCTCAGCTTGTTTCTGTTAACGAGCTGTTTGGCAGTCTTCTCTTCCGACCAGAGTGTCCCTGCAGAACTGGACAATTCCAGCTGTTGCACTGGAACCTCCAGCATCGATTGCTGAACTATCACGGGGCTGAGAACATCTGCCTAGTCTCTCAATGATGAGGGAAATACCAGTTCTCCTTCTCTCCAAATATCCAACGGGGGTGCATGCCATCATGGAAAGTACCCACAAAGCCAAAAGCTCTTTTTTCACCCTATCATTCCAAGACAGAGGGAGATGGGGCCATGTGGAGGAGACTGCAGCATCCAAATGAGCCTGACATGTAGACTAACAATCACCTATGGGGCTCATTGTGGTGGCAGCTCTCAAAAGCCTTATAGAAGGCACTAACCACTCTGATTTTCAGAACACAGTTCTTGCTGTCTCTCTTCAATATACCTCATGGAATGATCTTAAATTGTTTATGAAAAAAAAAAAGCTTCAAAATGCTTGGGATATGGATAGTAAGTGGATAGCATAGACAAATCATTTCTTGTCTTATAACAAAGTACCTGGGGACTATGTCCACATCTTAAGAGAAAGAGTCACACAGCAGGAAAGCTACGACGGACAGAGGAGTAGCTAAGGCTGGCAAGATCTTAAGAAGGTGCAGTTGTGTTTCAGGACCTATAGGGAGCTTCCTTAAGAAGTGCAGATTTTGACATGGAACTCTTTATGATAAAACCATCTTCAATTTCAGATACTACTAGGTAAATTCCAAATGGCTTAGATTAAGCTCGAGTTATCAGTTTAATAAGAAGAAACTGGT